CAGTGAGAAATGGGGAAAAATGGGGAAAAACCAGGGAGAAACGGGGAAAAACCCGGGAGAAATGGGGAAAAATGGGGAAAAAACGGGGAAAAACCAGTGAGAAATGGGGAAAAATGGAGAAAAACCAGTGAAAAATGGGGAAAAATGGGGAAAAACCAGGGAGAAATGGGGAAAAATGAGAATTATTTGGGTTAACAACAGGGGCTGGTAACGGCCACAGCCGCCGTGGCCCTGCCGGAAAACCGGGGAAATGGGGAGAAAACAGTGAGAAATGGGGAGAAATGGGGAAAAAACAGTGAAAAAACAGTGAGAAATGGGGAAAAATGGGGAAAAATGGGGAAAAACCAGGGAGAAATGGGGAAAAACCAGGGAGAAATGGGGAAAAACCAGGGAGAAATGGGGAAAAACCAGGGAGAAATGGGGAAAAACCGGTGAGAAATGGGGAAAAATGGGGAAAAACCAGTGAAAAACCAGTGAGAAATGGGGAAAAATGGGGAAAAATGGGGAGAAAATGGGGAGAAAATGGGGAGAAAATGGGGAGAAATGGGGAAAAATGGGGAAAAAACAGTGAGAAATGGGGAAAAAACAACGAAAAATGGTGAAAAACCAGTGAGAAATGGGGAAAAATGGGGAAAAACCAGGGAGAAATGGGGAAAAACCAGTGAGAAATGGGGAGAAATGGGGAAAAATGGGGAAATAGCAGTGAGAAATTGGAAAAAAAACAGGGAGAAATGGGGAAAAATGGGGAGAAATAGGGAAAAAACCAATGAGAAATGGGGAAAAATGGGGAAAAAAGAGGAAAAAAAGGGAAAAAAGGGTTTTGGGGTGAGAAATGTGAATTTTGGGGAACACAAGGAGGTCAGAAATGTGAATTTTGGGGAGGCTGAGGAGGTTTTTAGGGGCAGAAATGTGAATTTTGGGGAGGCTGAGGAGGTTTTAGGGTCAGAAATGTGAATTTTGGGGAACACAAGGAGGTTTTAGGGTCAGAAATGTGAATTTTGGGGAACACAAGGAGGTTTTAGGGTCAGAAATGTGAATTTTGGGGAGGCTGAGGAGGTTTTAGGGGCAGAAATGTGAATTTTGGGGAACACAAGGAGGTTTTAGGGTCAGAAATGTGAATTTTGGGGAGGCTGAGGAGGTTTTAGGGTCAGAAATGTGAATTTTGGGGAACACAAGGAGGGTTTGGGGTCAGAAATGTGAATTTTGGGGAACACAAGGAGGTTTTAGGGTCAGAAATGTGAATTTTGGGGAGGCTGAGGAGGTTTTAGGGTCAGAAATGTGAATTTTGGGGAAGGTGAGGAGGTTTTAGGGTCAGAAATGTGAATTTTGGGGAATACAAGGAGGTTTTAGGGTCAGAAATGTGAATTTTGGGGCGGCTGAGGAGGTTTTTGGGGCGCTCACCTTCTCCTTGGCCAGCTCCTCGTCGCCCTCGGGCTGCTCCACCCCGAACTTGTGGTCCATCTCCTCGCCACCCTCGCAGATGTTCTTGCCCTTGCAGAGGTCGTAGACGTGGCTCAGCCGCTTCTTGGGCTGCCCCTTGGACTTGCCCAGGATGTCCTTGATCTTGGGGTTGTTCTGCGGGGAACACACCCGGTTTGGGGTCAGAAACGGGAGGTTTGGGGTCAGAAATGGCGTTTTGGGGTCAGAAATGGGTGGTTTGGGGTCAGAATGGGGTCAGAAACGGGAGGTTTGGGGTCAGAAATGGCGGTTTGGGGTCACAAAGTGTCACTTTGGGGTCAGAAATGGTGTTTTGGGGTCAGAATGGGGTCACAAAGTGGCCTTTTGGGGTCAGAAATGTCATTTTGGGGTCAGAAATGGCGTTTTGGGGTCAGAAATGGCGTTTTGGGGTCGGAAAGGGGCGTTTTGGGGTCAGAAATGGCGTTTTGGGGTCACAAAGTGTCGTTTTGGGGTCGGAAAGTGGCGTTTTGGGTTCAGGAAATGGTGTTTTGGGGTCAGAATGGGGTCAGAAATGTCGGTTTGGGGTCACAAAGTGACATTTTGGGGTCAGAAATGGCGGTTTGGGGTCAGAAAGTGACATTTTGGGGTCAGAAATGGCGTTTTGGGGTCGGAAAGGGGCGTTTTGGGATCAGAAATGTCATTTTGGGGTCAGAAATGGGCGGTTTTGGGGTCAGAAATGATGATTTTGGGGTCTGGTGTTGTGTGACTGGGGTCCATCAGCATCTCCAAGGCTTCCAGGACCACCCAGCAGGTGACACCTCTGTGTCCCCCAACTCTTGTTGTCCCCTCTCCGTGTGTCCCCCCAACTTTATCAGCTCTTCCTGGTGTCCCCCACTCTGGATTTCCCCTCACTTTGACCCCCCCAGCACCCCCAAAAATGGTCCCAGTTCCAACTTTGGGACCCCCAAACCCAAGGACCCCACGGGGCTGTTTCAGGGCAAGGCCCCCCTGCCAAAACCGACCCCTCCTCCAAAAGTTTTGGGGTCCCCCCAGTGATTTTTGGGCTCCCCCAGGGATTTTTGGTCTCCCCCCGGTGACTTTGGGGTCCCCCTGGTGTTTTTTGGGCTCCCCCCGGAGATTTTTGGGCTCCCCCCGGTGTTTTTTGGGGTCCCCCCGGTGATTTTTGGGCTCCCCCAGTGATTTTTGGGATCCCCCCGGTGACTTTGGGGTCCCCCCAGTGTTTTTTGGGCTCCCCCCGGTGTTTTTTGGGCTCCCCCCAGTGATTTTTGGGCTCCCCCCGGTGACTTTGGGGTTCCCCCAGTGTTTTTTGGGCTCCCCCCTGTGTTTTTTGGGCTCCCCCCGGTGTTTTTTGGGCTCCCCCTGATGATTTTTGGTCTCCCCCTGGTGATTTTTGGGCTCCCCCAGTGTTTTTTGGGCTCCCCCCGGTGATTTTGGGGTTCCCCCCGGTGTTTTTTGGGCTCCCCCTGGTGATTTTTGGGCTCCCCCTGGTGATTTTGGGCTCCCCCCGGTGTTTTTTGGGCTCCCCCCGGTGTTTTTTGGGGCTCCCCCAGTGATTTTTTGGGCTCCCCCTGGTGTTTTTTGGCTCCCCTGGTGTTTTTTGGGGTCCCCCCGGTGATTTTTGGGCTCCCCTGGTGTTTTTTGGGCTCCCCCCGGTGATTTTTGAAGTCCCCCCAGTGATTTTTGGTCTCCCCCCGGTGATTTTGGGGTCCCCCCGGTGATTTTTGGGGTCTCACCGAGTCCACGAGCAGCTTGGAGCAGAAGAAGCAGACGCAGCGCAGGATTTTCATGGTTTTCCCCAGGAAGCCCACGTGGAACACGGGCTTGGCCAGCTCGATGTGGCCAAAGTGGCCAGGACACTCCGTCATGTTCCCTGGGGACACCCCAAAATCGGATTGGGAAGGTTGGGATAGAGGGGAAAAACACCCCAAAAAAATGTGGGGGTTTGGGGGTGGGAGGTACAGCCCAAAAAAGAAAGGAACAGCCCTAAAAAAATCCCTAAAAAAGGGGGAGCAGCCCCCCAAAAAAAGGGAAACTCTGAAAAAAAAAAGGAAAATCTCAAAAATAAAAGAGGGAGACCACCCCAAAAAAAGGGACCTCAAAAGAAAAGGAAATTTCCCCCAAAATAGGGAAATCCCCTTTAAAAATTCCCATGGATGGAGCAAAAGTGAAATTTGGGCAATGAGGGGTGGGAAGGGAGCTCCCTAAAAAGGGAAAACAACAAAAAAAACACCAAAAGAAACCCCCCAAAAATAGGGATCCCACCCCAAAGCTGAAGGAAAAATGCTCCTGAAATTTTTGGGGGGCAATGAGCAGTGAGAAAAAGCCCCCCCAAAAAAGGGAATAACACAAAAAGAGACACCCCAAAAACAATCAATTCCCCCCCAGAAACAGAAGGATTTGAGGGGGGTTCAGGCTGTGAGAATTTAGGGGTTCAGGGCCCTCCCTGTGAGAGATTTGTGGGGTTCAGGACTCTCTTTGTGAGGGATTTGTGAGGCTCAGGGGGGTCCCCGTGAAGATTTGGGAGGATTTGGGGGTTCAGGACCCCCCTCACTCACCAGCACAGGTCTGGCAGCGCCCCGTCCTCTCGATGACGCCCTGCCGGGGGTCCATCAGCCCCCCCAGTTTGGGGCGTCCCCCCTCGGTGGTTTCGGGGTATTTGATGCCCCCCTCGGTCACCGACATTCGTTTCTGGGGGGGAAAAGGGGAAACTGAGGCAACTGGAGACCCCCAAATTCATCCGCAAGCCCCCCCCAAAATAAAAACTCCAAACGGGTGTGAGTACAAGTGACGCCCTCGGGTGACAACAAACACCTCAATCACCCCAAAAACCCTCCTGGGCTCGCTGAACAACTTCCAGGAACCCCAAGACCTCCCTGAGAAGCTCCCAGGGACCCCAAAACATCTCCAGGACACCCCAAAGCTCTTCCAGAACTCCCCTAAAAACCTCCAGGTACCCCAAGACTCCTTCACGTCAGCCTAAAGCTCTTCCAAGGCCCTCACAAACACCTCCAGAGACCCAAAGCTCCTCCAAGACACCCTGAAACCCTCCCAGGCACCCCAAAACCCTCCAGGGTACCCCAAGGCCTTTCCCAAGGTCCCCTGAGGAGCCTCAGGGACCCCAAAATTCCTCCCGAAGCTCCCTAGAGACGCAAAAACGCTGCCAGGGGATTCTGTGCCACTCTCGGACACCCCAATGCTCTTCCAGAGGCTCCCAGGGAACCCCAAAACCTTCCCGAACCC